TTAAAATTTTAAAATCTTTAAATTTTATCTAAACATATCTAATTTAAAATTTTGAATTTTTTTTTTACAATATTAGAAAAAAAATGACTCAAATCTATTAGTGTATTATCTAAATTTTGAATTATTACACATAGCATAATATTACTGGATTTAACATTTAAATTTTAAAATTAATTAAAATATTTAACTATATGATTTGTGGAATTCCAATACTTTTTTTCTGAATTTTCCAATTTTTTTTTTAAAAAAAATTTACAAAGTTTAAGTTTCTAAGTTCTGTTTGGTAACGTTTATGTTTTCAGTTTATATTTACAAAAATTTTATAAACTGATTTTTGTTTATTTTTTGTTAATTTTTAGAAAAACATAAACTACAAACGTGTTTGGTAATTGACAAAATGTTTAAAAAAATTTAAAAATATAAAAAAGAGTGAAAAATGGCAAGTGGTAGCAAGTGGCGGCGGAAGACGGTGGTAAAAAGTGGTGACGGTGGGTGGTGGGTAGCAGGTGGTGGTGGGTGGTGGCAGAAGACGGTGGTAGAAAGTGGTGACGGTGGGTGGTAGGTAGCGAGTGGTAGTGGGTGGATGGGTGACGGTGGTGGGTGGTGGGTAGTAACGAGTGGGTGGTGGGTAGTAACGAGTGGGTGGTGGTAGCAGGTGGGTGACGAATGGCAGATGGCAGGTGGTTGTGGGTGGTGGCGGGTATGTGGCAGGTGGTGGTGGAGGTGGCGGATGGTGGGTGGTAGCGAGTGGATGGTGGTGGTGGTGATGGTGGTAGTGGCGGCGGGTGGTGGGTGGTGGTGGTAGGTGGGTGACGGATGGCTGGTGGTGGCTGGTGAGTGGTGATGGCGGGTGGGTGGGTGACTGTGGCGGTTGGTGGGTGGTGGCGGGTGGTGGTGGTAATAGGTGGGTAAGTGACGGTGGCGAGTGGTAGCGAGTGGGTGGTGGTGGTGACACTACAAGAAATTGCATTTTTCGCAACGCAACAAAATATGTTGCTAAAAGGGAAAATTCGTTGGCAAAAAGTTTTGCCGACACACAAAGCTACGTTGGCAACCCGTAGGCAAAAGTGAGTTGGCAAAAGTTTTCGCCGACGAAATTATGATTGCGTTGGTAAAAGTAATGCCTTTAGCGACGAACATAGTCGTCGCTAAAAGCCTCCATCCATCGTCGGTAATTTACCTTGCGTTGGTAAAAGTCATTCAAATAGGATGATTGTGTGGCACTTTTCGCGACACAAATTTACATGGGCAAAAAATATACTTTTAGCAACAACATATGCGTTGGCAAAAGTAAACTTTTGGCGACACATTTACGTCGGCAAATGTTGCCATTTGCCGACGATTTGTTTGTCGCTAAAGCTTTACTTTTGGCAACGACAAATTGGCATTGGCAAAAAATACACTTCTACCAACACAATATGAGTGGGGAAAAGTAACTTTTAGCGACACATTTACGTCGGTAAATGTTGCCATTTGCCGACGATTTGTTTGTCGCTAAAGCTTTACTTTTGGCAACGACAAATTGGCATTGGCAAAAAATACACTTCTACCAACACAATATGAGTGGGGAAAAGTAACTTTTAGCGACACATTTACGTCGGTAAATGTTGCCATTTGCCAACGATTTGGTTGTCGATAAAGCTTTAGTTTTGGCAACGACAAATTGGCATTGGCAAAAAATACACTTCTACCAACACAATATGAGTGGGGAAAAGTAACTTTTAGCGACACATTTACGTCGGTAAATGTTGCCACTTGCCAACGATTTGGTTGTCGATAAAGCTTTAGTTTTGGCAACGACAAATTGGCATTGGCAAAAAATACACTTCTACCAACACAATATGAGTGGGGAAAAGTAACTTTTAGCGACACATTTACATCGGTAAATGTCGCCATTTGCCAACGATTTGGTTGTCGATAAAGCTTTAGTTTTGGCAACGACAAATTGGCATTGGCAAAAAATACACTTCTACCAACACAATATGAGTGGGGAAAAGTAACTTTTAGCGACACATTTACATCGGTAAATGTTGCCATTTGCCAACGATTTGGTTGTCGATAAAGCTTTAGTTTTGGCAACGACAAATTGACATTGGCAAAAAATACACTTTTAGCAACACAATATGAGTAGGCAAAAATAAACTTTTGGCTACACATTTACCGACAAGTTATTTGTCGAGAAAGCTTCACTTTTTAACAACGACAAATTTGCAACGGCAAAAATAATTGAAACTCATTTATAATTTTTTAAAAAATTTACAGATTTACAAGAGGCATCCCTCAGGCACCACTATAACAAACTAATAACATGGATATGAAATCACACAAAATACCCCCTCCATACCCTTCTAGCCAAAACACCAGCAGTTGCCCGAACTTACACCTAATGACAACCCCCATTAATGAAAACCTGATCTATTACAGATTGGACAAAAAGTCATGCACCCTTCCAAACACCAGCAACACCAGCAAACATCCAACAACAACACAGCAGCACCTTATCGTAACAAACACCATCACAGCAGCATCACCACAGCATCTCAGCAACAGCAGCAACATCACAGCAGCACCAGAAGAATAGCAAATTAGTATAGCAGATCAGCAAACTGATGCAACAGAGATCATCACCAGTTCAGAAAACCATTTCAACTTGGCAACCCAAACAAAATCATATAACCAAATCAGAATTGACGCAGCAATTAACCTTATTTACCAGAACAGTCAGAAAACAAATCAAACAAAACCAGCAACAAAACTATACAAAATGCTCAGAAATCAGTTTACCATGTTTGTCATCCATCAATTGTTCAAACAGCCCTCAAAACTATACAATTCTTAGTAACTTTTAAGCCATCAGGTTAATAGAAGTTAAGTAAAAATTCAAACTAATTCACTGGCTGTCATGTTTACACTAGGAGAGTAAGTTATATAAAAACACTCAATTCAAGTACACCACAATGGGTTAATTGAAATCGATTTGGTTGTGTGTTTGTGAAACTATTTCAATTTCTGAATTGTACTTCATTTTTCATTCATAATAAATGATGATCTAGTTGAAGCCACCTTTTTTTTTTTTTTACTAAACTTATAAAAAAGGTTATAAAAAAAAATAACTTATAGATTTGGGTAAATCTTATATGTTTTTACTAAACTTATAGATTGAAAACGACATATAGATTTGGGTAAATTTTACTAAACATAAGTTTTCTATTTATTCTATAACTGATATATAGTTATCTGTAGTCAGGAAACAACTCCCACTTCTAAGAGAAAATGGACCAGCATAATCTAGAGATGCAATTTATTGATGAGCAATACAAGTCGTATCCAGACTTCGGCAGCAAATTTTCAACATATCTGAAACAATTATCAAAGCAACAAGCAACTTATTACACTACATCTATAATAGATATACGACAATGGCATTATTACCTCAACTACAAAGAAATAAAAGACCACCAGTAGAATGCCTTTAGTCAGCACAAACTTTAGGAGAGACAGCAGATGCTGTTCTGCAGTGTAATATATGATACCTAATTGACCATCTGATGCAGCAGACTTGACTCGGAATGACATTTTATTAATATTTTTTTTCATAAATAAGTTTGTACCATATTGACAGCATTGGTAATGTTCACCCCATATACTTTCTCCCAAGCCTGTGCAAGAACAGGTGTGTCTACTTAGCAAATGGCATGTTAATATTTACATAACCTCAAAGCAAGTAAAAAAGCCACATAATATAACTTTTATATAAAAGAAATTAGTTCATGAGAACAACCTTGATGAATGTGTCATCACCATCATTTCCATGACCATTGTGAAAGGACAATTGGAAATAAACAAAGTGAGTATCAGGTTGCTCCAAAACATTAATAGCTGCCACCTACAGATTATGGTTGTGAGAAACTGTAAATCATGCAGATACATACCTGCTATTAGATGTTGAAAAGCAACTGCCAGAAGTGGAAGAGGAAATGTACATGATTTGGCCATATCCAAAACAATACCCTTCAAGTTGGACAAAAACCCATCAGGCATAATTGACTCATCCAGCCCTTGATAGAGCGAAATAGAGGAAAATGATTCATGTAACTGACGCCACTTGATTGGGGACACAAGGCTTAGTTTGGTTTGGTTTAGTTTTAGCTTTGCAGTTCACAAAGAGATCTCTATTGAATAAGAGTTCAAAGATTTGAACAAGAATTTGTTTAGATTAGAATGACAAAGCTGTCCACTTAAGGTCTTTCCAATAAAGTGATTAAGCTGAATAGGATTCTAGTATTTAAGATAACTAGCTTATTTTTTTCTCACATTAGCACTTCTACACTTCAATGCCTAGCCAAATAAGTCTTTTCTATTTTCTACTTCATAAAAACATAAGTTTTCTTAATGGGAACTTATTTCGTACATTACTTTATTTTATCAATAATGAGTTCTTAAAAAAATAAGTGGATAAGAGACCCATTTAAGAATGTGATTCTGAATTGAGGTCTACCTTACAGTATCAATATCTCAAAAATCATTATTGAAAGTCTCAATGTGTCCAAATTCATTGATGAAGAAATGATCCTAAACATCTCACATGATCCTGGATCTGTGCAAGAATGAATTGGTCTCTACTTAATGATCATTGTATTGACAATCAAAACTGTAATGCTTCTAGAATTGCATGTCTGTGTGTAACATGGATGGACATTTATATACTTAGGCGTATGCACATACGCAAATATGTATTGTTAACAAAATTCTAGTAGCAACTCCAGGTTGATAATTTTTTTGGCTATATGCCAAATCTGGTATGCATCATTTTCACACTCATTTCCCAGCTCAAAGCATAGAGAGAGAGAGAGAGAGAGAGAGAGAGAGAGAGAGAGAGTTACCTGCAAGGTATTGTGCTTGAGTTATGGTAATAGTGTCTGTAGTTACTCCATTAACGAGGGGTCCCCCATATTGCAGAACATGACGACCTGGTGTCACATAGCCCTAAATGGTTGGATACCCATGGTTGCCAAAGAAAGGATGACCCATTTGTCCATATGGGACAATATTTGTGTTAACTGTGCTTGGTACGCCATATATTTGAAGGTAATGCTGACCCATGTGAGGATTGTAGACACCCTGAAAAAATAGACAGAACACATCACGATTGTGCACATATTCCTTTCCAGAACTAACTGGAGTACCAAAATACCCATTAGCAGTTGAGATTTGAATTTACTGACCTGTGGGTAGGCATATTCGGGTCCAAAAGATGCGTACCTGCCAAAGGAAAGATTAATGCCTTGATGTCAAAGAGCACATCAATCAGTTTAGGTTGTAATGCAAGTGGACGTCAGATGATCATGTAAGTGAACACATGAAGCTCTGACATCACAAGAACAAGGCTTTTCTATCATACATAAATTACCATGACAATCATCTTGTGCTGATGCATATACCTTCGGTTTTTTGAATTAATAATAAAAACATAAAAAGCGGACGAGTTCAAAAAAATATCACGAACAAACAAACTTTAATTCACAAAAGTTAACTTGATTTTCACAAGTGTATGAATAAACTTTGCTAGTAAACATCAACTTCTACAAACCTCTGGTTGATAATCAACAATGACTTCAACAAAGAAAACGGACGCACAAGAATTTGCTCAATTAGCTATTTGTCTGGATAGGGGCAATTTAACTCTCCTATAGGCTCATTTTGCCCACGAAAGTGCAAAATCATGCGAGTTTGTAGAGATTGAGAACACCAATAGGTGGAAGTAGATTTTCACATAAGTCTTAGTTCATACTCGCCGGCCATGGTTATGTATCTCACACATGGAAGAGCCTGGTAGCCGCTTTTCTCGATAATCTTTAGGTAACGAACCTACAAAACACAGCATTTACATAAATAAAGGATATTATTTTATTATGGTTGTTACGTTACGTTCAGAACCAAACTGAGCATCTAGAAGAACCAAACAACAGGAATACATCATCATGAAGAGTCACCAAAGCAGTTTCCCCAACCAACTTGAATAAAATAAAATAAATTTCAAAGTTAAAACCAGTGGCACTGTTCACTCCTCAGAACAAGAACAAGACCAGAACTAGGGCAAGTAGGCATCAACCCCTTCGCTTAAGGTTTAGAAGTTTCACATCCCAGCAGTAGAAAGCAGCAAGCAAGAATCAGAATAATTATAATACATAGGTTCAAACATGCTCAATCACTAACATCTGTGGAAAACCACATCTCTAAGAAGTTCAACATGCTATTCTATTCTAAAAGGAAATACAGTGCAGGAGCAGGAATACCACTTCAACAAGCACAACTTCTGTCAATGGCTAATGACAAATTACAATGCCAAAATGGCTGAGACAGACAGAGAGTAGTTTGGCCTTTTTTTGTATCCACATCTGTGAATTTAAAAAGCAGGTTGGCCTTTTTTCTATTTATGAAACAACAAATGTACCTCTCAATCTGTTCTGCCTAGCAAGTCCTGCCCTGCTTTTGGCAGCTGCCAGGGTTTTTGCCATTTTTTGCAGCTCGAGTTGCAAGTACCTGCCATGGAAATGCACAAGGAATCTTGATATCTATTAATGTCAGACACTTTATTCAATGATTCAGAAAACCTCTCCCCAAGTTAAATGGTTTTTTTCACCTTAAGGCTTAGAGGTTCTCTATTGGCAGAATATAGTGCTGTGTATAAACTGTAAGATGTGTCGTGTTCTGTAAATTCTTGTCTGAAATCTGTTTGGATTTTAATAATTTGTATTATATGAATGCTTTTTACCTAGAACAATGAAAGTGCACCAGTCATATTAATGCACCCAATCCAGCCATTTCACTCCAAATTCAATGCCACTGACAGTTTGAATGCTAAAAGGCTTGGCCACAATGACTGTGCACTTAGAACTATATGCCTTTTAACATCTAACTGCATATAGACTTCAACCAGGAATTCTTCGTATTCAATGTCTACAAGATTAAGCATCACAAGGTAACTATATGATCAAAAGAACTATCATGGTGAATCCATGTTCCAGAAAATCTGGATTAACATGTTATAGAACTATATGCTTTTTCACATTGTTATACACATTCGATAAGGTGCTACCATTTCAATTAACATGGTTTGCTTTATGCTCAGAACCAACAAGAAAAATGAAGAAGAAGAAAGAGAATTGCAAACAAACTTTATTTGTGGCTTTATATATTTTACCCTAGAATCAGACCCAAGTTGTTGTTCCAAAAATCTGCGGATCACTTTTTAAGACCAAACCTGGAAAATTAAACTCAATGCCAAGATGGTATGTGCAGGTATCATTAAGCTGCGCTTGAAAACCTGCTATACATGTAAAATGAGAGACCAAATGTTTGTGATCATTTGTTGCCCAAGAAAAAATGTAAATATTTATAGCTTCTAAGAAAAAATTTGGGAAAAAGTAAAACATGGAATGTAAGTAGTTAGGACGTCATTTAATATTTATTGGATGTTGTCAAAATGTAAATATATATAAAGAAGGGGGAAAAAGAAAGTATCAGCATCTTGAAAACAATCCTATGTAGGAATAGTAAAAAACAAAGCAAAAATAGCAACAGACATATTGTGAAAATTGGTTTTCTAACTTACTTTCTATCCCCCTCTACATCTGGAAGATCTTTAGTAATGGCAATGACTAGCACAAACAATGTTACAAAAGTTGTGATGAAAGCCACAGGTAAGCTGCAGTAGAAATTGATAACGTGCACATGAGAAATTTTGCTGAGTTTGAGAAATTTATAACGTGCACATAAGCTGCAGGTAAGCCATAGCCGTTAAATCTTGAAGTTAAGTTGGTTATGATTTCTATAGCTATGTTGCTAAGTTATTTGACATAATAGTGCTCACTTCCCTTAAGTGATATTAATCTATTCAATTGATATGGTAACGGGTAATAAACTGAAAAAATGACTAAGAGTCAATTTCATGAATCTACACATTGGGTCGATCTGTTTCTGTTCAATTAATCAAACCAGAAGTGTATTAAAAAAGAAACCTTTGAAGCAGAGTGGAGATGTCCTTTTCGCTGATTGAACCCTTTTGTGCTTCTTCGTCTTATCAATCATTGTGATTTTTCAACTGAAATCGCATCACAAAAATCAAAAAATTGAAATTAAAATTCAAAAAGAATACCTTTACAGCCAAATATTAATAAACATAAACAGAAATTCCAAATGTACAAAGGCGTGTAAACGAATCGAATCAATTAATCAAACCAGAAGTGTATTAAAAAAGAAACCTTTGAAGCAGAGTGGAGATGTCCTTTTCGCTGATTGAACCCTTTTTGTGCTTCTTCGTCTTATCAATCATTGTGATTTTTCAACTGAAATCGCATCACAAAAATCAAAAAATTGAAATTAAAATTCAAAAAGAATACCTTTACAGCCAAATATTAATAAACATAAACAGAAATTCCAAATGTACAAAGGCGTGTAAACGAATCGAATCAATTAATCAAACCAGAAGTGTATTAAAAAAGAAACCTTTGAAGCAGAGTGGAGATGTCCTTTTCGCTGATTGAACCCTTTTTGTGCTTCTTCGTCTTATCAATCATTGTGATTTTTCAACTGAAATCGCATCACAAAAATCAAAAAATTGAAATTAAAATTCAAAAAGAATACCTTTACAGCCAAATATTAATAAACATAAACAGAAATTCCAAATGTACAAAGGCGTGTAAACGAATCGAATCAATTAATCAAACCAGAAGTGTATTAAAAAAGAAACCTTTGAAGCAGAGTGGAGATGTCCTTTTCGCTGATTGAACCCTTTTTGTGCTTCTTCGTCTTATCAATCATTGTGATTTTTCAACTGAAATCGCATCACAAAAATCAAAAAATTGAAATTAAAATTCAAAAAGAATACCTTTACAGCCAAATATTAATAAACATAAACAGAAATTCCAAATGTACAAAGGCGTGTAAACGAATCGAATCAATTAATCAAACCAGAAGTGTATTAAAAAAGAAACCTTTGAAGCAGAGTGGAGATGTCCTTTTCCCTGATTGAACCCTTTTTGTGCTTCTTCGTCTTATCAATCATTGTGATTTTTCAACTGAAATCGCATCACAAAAATCAAAAAATTAAAATTAAAATTCAAAAAGAATACCTTTACAGCCAAATATTAATAAACATAAACAGAAATTCCAAATGTACAAAGGCGTGTAAACGAATCGAATCAATTAATCAAACCAGCAGTGTATTAATAGAAAACTGAAAATTTTTAAAACATACGATACGAATCTGTGCAGTGAGTGCATCTTCCTTAGTGTCATCCAATGCCTTCCCATAGCAAGTTCAAGGTCCACCACATAAAGACAAAGTACCGTGTTAGGCAACTAAAAAACTGATAGCTGAGGAAAAAGAACACAAATCATGACACGACCACAATATGCAATTTTGTCAGCAAATCCTGCAAGGCACTGAGAATCTGCAGATCATCTTCTCAGTTA